GGAGAAAGGGCAGCAGGGACCCTGTCCATCCCCAGGACTTTCAGGTTTTCTGGCCGACCCAGGGAATGTTCGCGTTTGGGCGGATGCACTGGCTTTTCTGCTTTGCCTCTCTTCCCACTTCCCTCTCTTATCTGTTCTCTCCTCCGTCCTTGCACAATTCCAGGCTGTCAGTCAACTTCCAATGAGAAAAAAGAATGGATCTGATAAAAGTCCCAATTGTTCATCCTGGCTCCCCCCCCTTCTCCCTCCAGTCTCCCCAGGTTTCACCCCAGCTGCTCAGCAGCCTTCCTGAGCCTTTGTTCTCTGAAGATGCCGTGACTGTCAGGGAAGAGGCCAGCCAAGCAGAGCGGAGCATGGGCGCGAGACCACCGGCGGCGGGCCCTGAGCCTCACAGCACATGGCGCATACCCAGGAGGCTTTGGGGCCACTGTGCTGTGGTCAGGAGCCCTCCTCCTGCTCCTAGTTAGGCTCCCCCTTCCCTCCCCACACACAAACCCTGTGGCATATTTGCCTCTGCGAGTCTGCAGCCCAGGGAGAAGAAATAAAAAGCTAAGGACGGGAATAGAGTCGCTGTGAGAGGAGGCCACCCCAGCCCCCCAGCCTTCCGCCTGTGCTGGCTGAGGTCTGTGGGTCTGGCTGCTCCGCGCCCCCCCCCCCAGCAGAACAGATTGTAAATTCATCAGCTTGTGGTTAATGTGGACACTCTCTGGGGGACCATGGTGGAGACCCCTCCCTGGGAGCTGGCACATGCGGGGTTTAGGGTCCCATTTGCCCCTGGCTTTGTCAAATCATTTCGTGTGTGTGTGTGTGTGTGTGTGTGTGTGTCTGTCTGTCTGTCTGTCTGTCTATCTATCCTGGGGCTTGAACTCAGGGCCTGGGTACTGTCTTTTTCACTCAAGCCTGGAACTCTACCATCTGAGCCACAGCTCCACTTGCAGCTTTCTGGTGGTTAATTGGAAACAAGAGTTCCACGTACTTTGCTACCCAGGCTGGCTTTGATTCTGTGATCCTGGGATCTCAGCCTCCTGAGTAGCTAACATTACAGGCGTGAGCCAGTGGTGTCCAGCGTCGCACGAGCAGCGCCACAGCCCCGTGAAGCCCGCAGACCCGGCTGCAGGCCCCTCACGTGCCCCACACAAGTGCCTGTGTATACTTTGCTGGCAGAGCCCGTTGCCTGGAAACCATATGCAGTGTTTTCCCACTTATAAACAGAAGCCCCTGCAGCCCCACCTGCCAGGGCCTGCGTCCCCAGCCTGACAGTGAAGCAGCTGTGGAGACATCAGGAAGACGGGTCACTCCAGCACCTTCCCTGCTGCCTCATCATCCTCAGACCCGGAGATCACAGCCCGCCAGGGCATGGGGCCGGCAGGGTTCCAGGCTTTGGGGGTTTGACCTTGGCCTTGTTGTGTCCTGCTAGCAAAGGCAGCTCTGGTACTTTTGTCCATAAGCAGGAACATGGTAGAATTCCAGTCTGGCGTGCTCGCCGCAGCCCTCCAGTCCTGACATGGCTGAGGGGTCCTGCTTCTGCAGGTAGGAATGGCATCAGGAAGGTGGCAGAGTGGCTGAGACCCATGGGTATATAGGAGACGTCAGTAGAGGCAAACAAGAGAGCCATCATTTCAGTGGGGGGGGAGAGGGGACAGGGAGGGAAGTGTTCCATTTTCTTTCTTCCCTCTGAAGAATCTGATCATTTCAGTCTATGAAATGAACTGACAGTAGATAGAAAAACAAAACTTACTCCATGCACAGATCTGGGACCCACATACAAAGTATAAGACTGGGAAGAAAAGGGGCTGGGAATGTGGCTCAGTGGTAGAGTGCTTGCCTCGAACAGATGAGGCTCTGGGTTCAATTCCTCAGCACCACATACACAGAAAATGCCAGAGTGGTGCTGTGGCTCAAGTTGTAGAGCACTAGCCTTGAGCAAAAGCAGCTCAAGGACAGCGCCCTGGCCCTGAGTTCAAATTCCAGGACCAGAAAACAAAAACAAAAAGATTGGAAAGAAGAGCCAGATGGTGGATGCTTACCAAGTAGTATGAGCTATATATAGAAAGAAATAGGGGCTCCAGGCTGCTGGGCTGAGGATCTGAAGACGGGGGGTGGCACCCACAAAAGCTACAAAAGTAGGGGCCGTGGAACACAAAGGTTTTCTCCTGCAGAGACAGTCTCCCCTACCCCTGACCTGTGGTGAGCTCCAGGAAGTATGCCCCCCAAATGTATTGAGAATAGAAAAAGCTTGGTCTTTCTGTGTGTGCTGGTACTTACTGGGGCTTGAACTCTGGGCCTGCGTGGTCTCACTTGGCTGTCTTGCTCAAGGCTGACACACTTAACCACTTGAGTCAGAGCTTCATTTCCAGCTTTTTTTTTTTTTCTGGTTAATTGAACATACGAGTCACACACTTTCCTGGTCAGGCTGGTTTTGAACCTTGATCCTCAGATCTCAGCCTCCTGAGTAGCTTGATTGCAGGAGTGAGCCACTGGTGCTGGGCTTTGATTTGCTTTATCGTCCTTAGCTACAAAATGGATTTGGTCACCAACCCAGCTAGGTGAAGGATCCCCAGTGACTGGTCCCGGCTGGAATTCTCTCCTTCTGGACCACATCTGGTCATTCTCCCGCAGCCCGGGCCACTGACCTGCTCCCTGACCTGTGCTTCCTCATCTCCGCCCCGCTTCCTGTGTAGGGCACAGCCCTTCACCTCATATCTGGACGCTGGGCCAGCCCAGTGCAGCTGAAAGGCAGAGAGAGACCGGAAGGGCTAGCCTCACTGGAAGGTCTAGCCTCACGGGCAGGTGACCTGATTCATAGAGTAGGCCCCCAGGTTCCAGCTTGCCATCCAGTGAGGATATTTTATCTTTTTAGGGCAATTCTCCTAAACTAGTGCCTCTGAATTATCAGAACTCAGAAGCAAAAAGCACGGCCACGGTGCAGCCTCAACAGCTGTCTGCGGCCCAGTACCAAAAAGGAAGGGCTGGCCCCATAGATCTGCTATTTTTATCGAGTGCTTTATCTTCTACAAAGGGCTCTGGGGCTCTTTGTCTCTTTTAATCCCAGCAAAACCTATGTCACAGTTTACACGGGAGCCCTGACTAGGGGAGGTTGTGGTGTCTTGCTGGGGCCTCGGAACCCTTCCTGACACTGGTCCCCACCAGCCCCAAACCCACCAGTCCCCTAGAGACAATCTGGCTTTGCTGTGCATTGTGCCCCAGGCAAGAGTCACAGATGGCACCGGCAGCCTGGCCTGTCTCCTGCTCAGACTCCTTTCCTAGATCCGCTGCCGACCATTGAAAGCAGAAGGGAAGTGGAGCTGTGGCTCAAGGAATAGAGCGCCAGCCTTGAGTGAAGAAGCTAAGGGGCAGCACCCAGGTCCTAAGTTCAAGCCCTAGTATGGACACCAAAAAAAAAAAAAAAAAAACCAACAGAAGTCTGCCACCTCATTTGCAGCAGCCCCTGGGTGGCTGGAGATGCTCATGCTTGCCCCCAGGAAACTCAAAGCCATCGCAGTCCCCGCCCAACCCCAGGGGGCGGAGCTAAGTGTGGCCAGGTGCCGGATGGGAAGGGGCTGGCGGGCCAGGGCTGGGGCAATGCCTGGGAGCTGGCTGCCTGGTGAGGAATGCACCTTGCAGGACTCTCAGATGCCTCCCGGCTTTTGCCTAGAGATGGGAACAGAGAGGGTATGGACCAGCAAGGAATCAGACCCCCTAGGGATGCTCCATCTACACCCTCAAGTTCAGGCCCAGGACCCTCCTGGGGTTACTCATCCTGAGTAACTTCCAGCACGAGCCATGTCCCCACCACAACCTTCCCCATGTTAAGGGGCAGAAGAAACAGGTGGAGGCTGCCTTGTTCATTTTGCGGATGGGGAAACTGAGGCCAGGAGAGCATTGAGCAGCCCCTAGTGGCAGAGCCAGAGTGATGGGCTCCAGGCTTTTGGCTGGACCCCCTTGGGTTCCTCGCAGCCTGCCTCATCTTGACCGACCTCTAGCCTCACGCGGGGCGGTGGCTGTGCCCGTGGGGGAGGGGCTGGCCGTTGTCGCGGGAGGCAGAGGCAGGTTTGGGGTCTTTGTGGGGGTCTCCCAGGGCGTGTGAGGACCATGCCTGGTTAGCGGGGGAGGCACAGAGGACAGGAAGGCATGACCAAGCTGGCTGCAGCTGGCTTGCAGTCCCGTGCTCCAGGTGGAGCAGTTTCCTATTCATACACTCAGTGCTCCAGCCCAGAAATAACGTGGCCTGGGGTTGGGTAACGCTGCAGCTGCCATTTTGAGCCCAAGTATATGGCTCCCAGAACAGGATTTTTCCTGGAGCCTCCTGGCCTGACCTATCCTGATAGCCATAGTTCCCTCTTGGCGGGAGCTCCCTGGCTTCCAGATGCTTCCAAACATCCCCTGGTAGATGCTGCTTCTGACAGCTGGTCTGACACTGCTGGATAGCAGGGAGGAGGAGTTGAGCACAGTAGACTGCAGGTCTGTGACTGCCAAGCCAAGGACAAGTGCCCATCGCTGGCCACAATGCTGAGCCCGACTGCTCCCAGCAATCAACGCACTCCCCATCTCCCCATCTCCCGCTGCTCTCTCCCAGGCACCCTGTGTGGTCCGGTTCTAGGGGGGTTTTGACACCCCTAGTTCTAAAGCTCTCTGTGACTCCATTGTCCAGAGCAATGGTTCACAACCAGCCAGATGCACCTCATTCCTGTGAATTCCTCAATCATGAAGGTAATATTGGTGCAGCCCTGATTTATGGTTGAAAGACTGGGTGGTGGTCACACACACACACACATACACACACACACACACACACACACAGTACAACAGGGGAGCTCAGCACTGAGGTGATTCAAGCTGGCTTCCTGGTAGGTCTCAGTATCTCTAGCTGGGAGGAGACCCAGCAACCCCAGGGCAGACATGTGCCTTCCTCTCATGTCCCCCAGGTCTCTGGGCCTGGCCAGAGGGACACTCTAAACACCTGACTGACCTCTGACCCGGCACTGCTTTTCACAGGAGGAGCGGCCTTCTCACCACCGTCCCAAAAAAGGGGGCTCAGTGGGCGGAGTGTGCTACCTGTCCATGGGCATGGTCGTGCTGCTCATGGGCCTCATCTTCGCCTCCGTCTACATCTACAGATACTTCTTCCTTGCCCAGGTGAGGAGCAGGCGGTGGTAGAGAGAGGCAGCCCCGGGATGGGAGGGAGAGAAGCAGGGAGAGCCAAGTACTGAGGGCTCAGGAGGAGGGGCAGTGCCCAGGTAGACCCTCCTGCCTGGCTCTTCTTCCATGGTGCCTATGCCAGCCCCAACCAGAGCTCTTTGTCCTGGAGCCAGACACTGCAGCAGCATTCATCCGGCAGTGTCACCTGCGGTACTAGCAACAGAAGCTTGAGGCCCGCAGAAAAGCAAGTCAGAGCTCTCCCCCCAGCTCAGCCCCACACGCAAGGAGGGGGTTGTGCAGTAAGGATGGCCTCATTCTACCCTGGGAGGGAAGACTTGGGCTCTAGATAGGAGGGGAGGGGAGGGAGATTTATCATGGCCAGTGTTGGGCCCTGACCCTCAGCCACACCCCCTGGGGCCCTGCACCCATAAAGCGGTGTCACCCCAATCTGAGGAGGAAGGGGTGTCACCACCTGTGGGACCTGCAAGTAGTGGAATCCGAGGGCTTCGGGTGACCTCTCGCCCCTAGGCCTGTGGTTTTCCAGTGTCAATTACTGGAGCGTTTCTGCCCTGGGGCACTCTCCCCGGAAGCTCAGCTCCCGTACTACCTTTACCTCGGGGTGTCCCTAGAAAGCCAGCTTCCCAAACCTTCCAGCCCCCCCCGACTAGCAGCTTCTCCCCTCCTCTCCAGCCTTTCCCATGGTGGCCCCATCCTGACTCTTGTCTTGCGTTGTCCTCACTCACAGTCCTGGGGTTCCCCACTCCAATTCCAAGGCAGCACAGCATGTCAGAGCAGCCCCTGGCAAGCACAGTGGGACCCAGCCCTGTCCCCCACCTCCCTTGGCTCTCCACACAGCACCCAGGGCCCCTGCATGGCCGAGGGAGAGCCTGCACCAAGACAGAGAATTATGATCAGGGGGTTACCTGAGAAATGGCACACCCCCTCCCCAACTGACAGTGTGGTCTTTCCACCCACTTGCTGGGGGCGGCAGACATTGTGATTGAGGATCTCAGGGTCTCTGGGCTAGGAAAGGTCTTAGAGACATGGAGGAGGCATTGGAAGAGCCTAGAAGTTCCTCAGCCCTCCCTGCAGGTCTCTCTCCCCAACCCAGCCCCAGCCTGTCCAACTCAGGTTTGTCCAGAGCACCCACCCACCACCCAAGCACCTGACGTCATCCCCTCCCCTCCCTGTTACTTTGAGGCCAGAAAGACGTCATATTTCACAGACTGGGACTGAGGTCTTCCACCTAGACAGCCTAGACACCTCCCCTCCAGCGTCTAGCCCCACACATGACCTGAGTCCTCACAATTCTTTTTTGATTTTGTCAGTCCTGAGGCTTGAACTTAGGGCCTGGACACTGTCCCTGAGCTTCTTTTGCTCAGGGCTAGCACTCTACCACTTGTGCCAAAGCACCACTTCAGGCTTTTTTGGCCATTTATTGGAGATAAGTGTCTCACAGACTTTCCCACCCAGGGTGACTTGGAATTGCAATCCTCAAATCTCAGCCTCCTGAGGAGCTAGGATTACAGGCGTGAGCCGTGGTTGCCTGGCTTCCTCACAATCTCACATCCCCTGGGCGTGAACTGGTCTCCCAGGACCCACCCTTCCCACCTCCCCACACCTGATGGGGACAAGTAGGCAGTGGTGGTCAAACCCATCACCCATAATCGCCCGCCTCTCCCCGCCTGTGCAGCTGGCCCGAGACAACTTCTTCCACTGCGGCGTGCTGTATGAGGACTCGCTGTCCGCCCAGATCCGGACGCGCAGGGAGCTGGAGGAGGACGTGAAGATCTACCTCGAGGAGAACTACGAGCGCATCAATGTCCCTGTGCCCCAGTTCGGCGGGGGGGACCCTGCAGACATCATCCATGACTTCCAGCGGGTGAGGCTAGCTCTTGGCGGGTGGGGGGGGTGGAGGGGGGGCCAGTGACCTGCCAGGAACTGGGGTGCCCAGTAGAGGAGCATCCCCAGGACCCAGAGCAAGAGGAATCCTTGGAGCATTTGCTGACCACAGCACGAGGGCCCCGCTGCTCCTTCTCGCTTAATGTGGTCCCCTGGGGACCTGTGCTGGCCACTGGCACGTGTGGACACTGGCTGCCACCGACGCTGCGGTCTTCCTGCCTGCTCCCACGTGCATATCACCACGGGCTGATGTGCACCTGACTGGTTTCCACTGGCATGTGCTAGCATTCTAGAAAGTTCCCTCATACCCTTCCTAGTTAAATAAGCATCTTCTGTGGCTGTTTTTGAAGTCAGCCAGTGAGGTCCAGGCTTCCCCATCCCTTTTCTCGCTCTCTCTCTCCCTTCCCCCCCCTCTTTTCCTCCCTGCCTCCCTTCCTCTCTCCCTCCCTCCCTTCCTCTCTCCCTCCCCCCCTCCCTCCCTCTCCATCTGCTTTTTTCCGCTCGAGGTTGGCTCTTGAACCGCGGCACTGCTTCCTACTTTTTTGGTGATTATTGAGAGATCAGAGTCATGGACGTGGCTGCCTGGGCTGCTTCGAACCTCCATCGTCAGATCTCAGTCTCTCCCGGGTGGCTGGGACAGCAGGCGTGAGCCACAGCCAGTGCCTTGCAGGGTTTCTGTCCGACCCTCGCCCTCCGCCCTGGTGTCCTGCCATGGAGGCCTGCGAGCCTGGGCAGAGCGCGCTCGCTCGCTCACTGAAATCCCGCTGTCCTGGGGCAGGATCAGGAGGCGGTGCCCGGCCCAGCGTTCAAGCCTGCACCCCTGGAGGCTAAGGGCTTGGTGGCCCTGGGGGACTGAGACCTCTCCTCGCACCCAGACTTGACGTGTCCCCACCCCCTTCCCTGGCACAGGGCCTCACCGCCTACCACGACATCTCCCTGGACAAGTGCTACGTCATTGAGCTCAACACCACCATCGTGCTGCCCCCCCGGAACTTCTGGGAGCTCCTCATGAACGTGAAGGTGAGCGGCCCCCACAGCCTCTCCTCCCGCCTCCACACCCCTCTGCGGAGGCCAGGCCCAGAGGAAGGGAGGCTGCTGTGAGGGTGGGCGGCCCAGGGAGGCTGGGCCCAGGGAGGCTGGTCACACCTCCCTCACACCCTGGTCCTGTCCCCAGAGCCACCTCTCCCCTCCCCCTCCCCCCCACTCATCTGGGCCGGCAGTTCCAGAGGGGACGGGCTGCCCGAGAGCCCGTCGTGTGTTTCAGTCCCACGGTAGAGGACAGGGACTGGCCGCAGACATCAGGGCCAGTACAAGGCGTCTGGCAGACTGTGTGTGTGTGTGTGTGTGTGTGTGTGTGTGTGTGTGTGTGTGTGTGTGCGCGCGCGCGCACATTGGGTTCTCGTGCATGGCAGCAAGGCCTGTGTGGGACCCTGGGGGGTGGAGGGTTCGTCCTGGCCACTAACCCAACTGTGTCCCTCTGCAGAGAGGGACCTATCTCCCGCAGACATACATCATCCAGGAGGAGATGGTGGTGACGGAGCACGTCAGCGACAAGGAGGCCCTGGGCTCCTTCATCTTCCACCTGTGCAATGGGAAGGACACCTACCGGCTGCGCCGCCGGGTCACACGCAGGCGTGAGTGTCCCCGCCCGGCCCCGGCCTGGCCCCGGCTCCGGCACCCCAGACAGTCGCTGGCTGTGCCTAGCGCAGCTGTGCCAGGGCTCCAAGAACAGCCGCACAGAACACCATGAAGCACTTGCCATGTCTCACGCCTGCCACCATCATTTTTATTCTGATTATCCCTTTCAAACACAAGGCAAGTGAAGCACAGAGAGGTTAGGTAACACCCGAGGTCACACAGCTGGGAGATGGCTTCATGGTGCTGCTTTGGGTGAATCACTGTTGCGTCTTGGGTCTCCCCCCCTCCCCCCCTCCCCATCCATCGCCCGGGGCCCACAGTCTCTGGCTGGCTTAGAGGCTGAACACCCCCTGCGCCTGGACACAGACCTCACTGGACTTCTTAGAAACTTTCTTTTTCCTCCTAGGGATCAACAAACGTGGAGCCAAGAACTGCAATGCCATCCGCCATTTTGAGAACACCTTCGTGGTGGAGACGCTCATCTGTGGGGCGGTGTGAGGCCATCTCCTTCCGGGCCCGCCCCTGCCCCGTTCTTTCTCCCCCAACTCTCTCTGGTCCCCTCCCTCCCTTCGCTTAGCTTGCACCGTGGGCACCTCTGCATAGACCGACATGTCCCGCCCTTTCTCCCAGCCCTGCCCGTCTCCCGGTGCCAGAACCAGGACCAGGACCCGAGCCCAAGCCTTAGCTGGCCTCCCAGAGGGCGGGCGGGGTCAGAGGGGACATCCGGAATGGTTTTCTGTGGCCTGTCATCTTGAAGTCAGCTCCTCAGTACCTGGGCTGAGGGGAGGAGCGAGAGGGAGGAGCAGACACGGGAGGCAGGGGAGGAAGAGGGGGAGCTGGAGCAGGCAGGGAGGCCTGGGCAGGGCAGGGGAGATGGCCGGGGTCGCCAGGGGTCGGTTCTGTACAGTTGGGAAGGCCCAGAAATGCTTTGACCTTGCAAGCACACGTCCCCCACTGTCCAGAGTCCTGGGGACAGAGGGGCGTGGGCAGGAACGGGCCTGCCACAGCACAAAGGGGGGTGGCCGACCGCGGCCCCTGGCAGGAGCCTGGAGCGCGGGCCGGGAGAGGTGGCCAAGCACAATTGTTCTCTGAGCAGAACCAAAGAGTTGAGCCCGGGCCTGGCCTGGCACGGGAGCACACGTGGGACCCCACCACCGAGCCCGGAGCAGCAGGGGGTGCAGAGGCTGGGGGGGCAGGTGTCAGCTGAGGGCTCTGGGCAGTGGGCGGTGCCGGTGGAAGCAATGGGGGGTGCCTGGTACTTGTGCCTCCTGCCCCCTCGTTCTGGGGTGATGCTTTTCCTTTACCTTCTCACTTTTTGCATGGTTTTATTGATGTCTGATATGCTAACTGTCCTGAACCCCAAGCCTTGGAGAGGCTCCGACGCCCCCAGTTAGACTGGGTTGCTCTCTGGAGAGGAAACTCTTAAATGCTTTGTATATTTTCTCTAATAGATCTCTTCAGAAGTGTCTACAGAAAATTAAAAAAAAAAAAACCTACTTCTGACGTGGGGTCCAGCGTGGTAGATGGACGGGGTGCCAGGTGGGGCTGGGGGGCTCTGGAGGCCGCGGCAGGGCGGATGTTGGGGGACAGGGCAGGGGGCAGCCGCACACCGTGGCTGGTGGCCCCGAAGGGGTTAGACTGGCTCCCTGGTTCCGTGAAGACTCTCCCCTCCTTCCCTCCCTTCACCTCCAGCGCGGCTGTGGAGCCAGGGGGAGGAGCGCTCACGGTCACGCTGCCAAACCCCGCCCTGTTCTGTGCAGCCAGTGATGTCATTGCATGTACCTACACTGATGGTGTCATTGCGTGTTCTTGTGCTGATGATGTCATCGCATGTACCTACACTGATGGTGTCATTGCGTGTTCATGTGCTGATGGTGTCATTGCATGTTCTTGTGCTGATGATGTCATCGCATGTACCTACACTGATGGTGCCATTGCGTGTTCATGTGCTGATGGTGTCATCGTATGTCCTTACGCTAAGCACAAAGACGCGATCATATTCTCCACCATGTCCGGCCAATTAGAGCCACCATTCTGCTGCATCTATAACAGCCACAAGGTCACATTCTCAGCGGAGTGTGGGGCGCTGGCCAGAGCCTTGGTTAGGTGGCCCTGGGAGGCCAGGCCTCGGTCTGCCCCGCGATGAAGCCGGTGGGAACCCATACCTGGTGTTGCTCACCATCTCCTACCTTTCTGGGGCCACAAAGACTCCAGTGAGCACAGCTTGAAGTGGAACCCAAAGGCAGCTTGCCAAGAGAGGTTCTGCTCACTCCTGCATCTAAATGCAGTCAGTTCCAGTGCCAGCCACGCCAGCCCCCATGCCCACACCCGTGACCCTGCCCACTCACGAGGCTGAGATCTCAGGATTGTGGTTCCAAACCAGCCTGGAGAGTATGAGACTCTAATCCCCAATTAATCAGCAAAAAGTTGGAAGTGGAACGGTGGCTCACGTAGTAGAACACCAGCCTTGAGCAGAAAAGGCTTAAAGAATAGTGCCCACGCCCTGAGTTTCAGCCCCTGTACTGGCACCCAAAAAAAAAGCCAATCAAGTTTGTTTTTGAACTCGACAATGAGTTCTGTAGAGAAGAGCAGGTAGCTCCAGCAAAGCATGAGGAGCTGCCTTCCCAGACCCAGCCTTAAAACAACCGTGGGGAGCCCAGCAGGTGACTTAAATCACAGAGAGAGGTAATACAGTTAAAGTGGCAGTCCAGGTTAGCGGCGACTTGTGGCCTGTTCTTAATGAAATCCTTGGGTGGCCACTTGGATAAGCTGAATCCTGCTTCCTTAGGTGATAGGAATTCTGAACAAATTAACTTGTAAACATGAAATAAAATGATTAAAGTATTTGAAGAGGATTTACATAATCAGTCTTAGAAGAGGGAAGGCCCTCTAGGCCTGATAGCCCCCAATTGAGAATTTATTAGCAAAAATTGAACGACTACCACTGGCCCATAGGACATAAAAAGAGTAATTTCCCTAAATACATAGAGTTATAAATCATGAAAAATGCATGATAAAAAAGAACAAAGAATTTAAACAGGCAATTTACCCAATGAGAAATGTACATGGATTAATGCTTCCATGTGAGAAAATGACAGTGGAGGCTGCTGGCTAATCCCTGTGATTCTGACTACTCAGGAGGCTACGCTTTGAAGATCAAGGTTCAAAGCCAGCTCAGGCAAACAAATCTAAAAGACTCTTACCTCCAGTTAACCAGGAAAAAAGCTGAAGCTGTGCCACAAGTGGTAGGGTACCAGCATTGAGCAGAAAGGCCAAGAGAGGATGCGAGGCTAAGTTCAAGCCCCAGTACTGGCACCAAAAAAGAAAAAAAAAAAACACTAAGCTGGGCATGGTGGTGCAAACTTGTAATCCCAGCACAGAGAAGGCTGTGGAGGTAGGAGGATCATGAACTACATAGTAAGTGAGACCCTGTATTGAAGAAGGAGGAAGGGAGGGAGGGAAACTACACTGGAAAGTCCATTTCTTGATGCTCCACTCTGTCCTAAAGTGTCTATCACTGAGTTACAACCACACTGAAAATAAGTCTGGCCACCTGCTAATGCAAGTTTTCTCCCTTGATTTCTCTAGCAGTGCCATGCCTGCTTTATGCTTTTATGCTCTATATACATTTTAGAAATAATTATCAAGTTCCATTAAAGTCTGGCGAGGTTTTTACTAGTTTTGATTAAATCTATAGTTCTACCTGAGAAAAATCAGTATCATGATACTGTGTACTCCAGTCTGATAAACATGGTGCTTTTTGTTTTTGCTTTGCCAGTCCTGGGACTTGAACTCAGAGCCAGGGCACTCTGAGCTGCTTTTGCTCAAGGCTAGCACTCTACCATTTGAGTCATAATGCAACTTCTGGCCTTTTCCATTTATGTGGTACTGAGGAATTGGACCCAGGGCTTCATGCATGCTAGGCAAGCACTCTACCACTAAGCCACATTCCTAGCTACATTTTTATTTGGACCTTCAATATTTTCTAATAGTTTTATCCTTTTTTTCTCATTAAATGGATTCCTAAGTTTCTTACATTTATTACTATCAAAAATTAGCACATGCCAGGTGCCGGTGGCTCACGCCTGTAATCCTAACTACTCAAGAAACTTAGATCTGAGGATCGCAGTTCAAAGCCAGCCCATTCAGGAAAGTCCATGAGACTCTTACTCCAACAAACCACCAGAAAACTGAAAGTGGCACTATGACTCAAGTGGTAGAGCACTAGCCTTGAGCCAAAGAGCTGAGGGACAGCACCCAGGCCCAGAGTTCAAGCCCCACAACCAACACACACATACACACACACACAATTAGCACATAACTCTTTGGTGCTAGTGGGTAAAAATTAATTTGTGCCATGAGTATTAACCTGGAAAATTTACAAAGCTGTCTTATTCTAAAAAGGTTATGTGCGGCCAGGCACTGTGACTCACGCCTGCAATCTCAGCTACTCGGCAGACAGAAATCTGAAGCACTGCAGTTTGAGGCCAGCTTGGGCAGATTGTGAGACCCAGCTCAATCCATAAGCTGGACATGGCAGCGTCACCAGAGGGTAGATGAGGACTTCCCTCAGCTCCTACGCAAAACCACAGGTCCCTGAGATCCACTCACACGAAGCATTTCTAGTTGTCTCACAAATAGGAGAGTCTCACAAAGTGAGCTTCATGCGACTTAATCTATTAATGTGACAAATGATACTTATACCTGACTTGGGCTATTATATATTTTTCTTATTTCTGCACTGATTCCATTTGCCAATGTTTTCTTAGTCTTAGGGATGTATCTATTATCACCCGAGAGTTAGAGCTGCTGTCCAGTGAGAAAAGACTTCCAGTATGGGAAACATACATGAGCAAAGGGAAATGGGGGAAATGGCAGAGATTTGCGGGGAGGGGGTGTGCACACACACGGGCGCGCGCTGCTGTGTACTGGGGCTTGAACTCAGGGCGTGGGTGCTAATCCTTAGCTTTTACCACTCAAGGCTGGTGCTGTCCACTGGAACCACACCTCTATTTTCCTTCTTTTTCTGGCTAATTGGAGATAAGAGTCTCTCAGACTTTCCTGCCTGAGCTGGCTTCGTTCTGTGATCCTCAGATCTCAGCCTCCTGAGATTATGGGCATGAACCACCAGCACCCAGCAAAGAAAGATCATTATGTGGCATGAAGCCACAGGAAGATGGCACTTCATCTTTTAATCTCCAGCCGTCTTTGGGGCACAGACCTGAGTGTTAGGCTTAGTAAAAAGAATTAGGGGCAGGGGACAAAGGCATGACTAGTTTGAGTCGCAGTTATAGTGTGGCTTGGCTGGTTGTTCTGAGTCTCTAGAGAAGTTGCTATCACTATCATCATCTGATCTGATGATCACTATCATCATCTGGTCACCACTAATTGGTTTCTCAGCTAAGGTGCAGACTGATCATGTAGGTCATTGTCGCATTTGGAGGTGCCCTGTCCTGCAAGGCTCTGCTGTTCTGAGGGGTCCTTTCAGTCCTGTGTCACAAAGGTATGGGTCAGTTCTGTCATTCCTGGAACTCGAGGCGACTGCAAAGCGACTGTGGAGAGAACGGCCTGGAACGATGGCGGATACCCAGAGGCAGAGCTGGCAGCTTGTCTCCTGCTTTGACTTCAGTCGTGGCAGCACATACAGTTCCAGCACCTGCTACAGATACACTTTCAATAGACAAGAGCCGCCCGTCTCTAGGCACCATTCACCTTTGGGACTTGACTATGTATTGAGATTACCTGTGAGGAACTTACGTCCCAGGTCGGGTCTACCAGGCCAAGGTCACCTTGAGCTGGGACGACTTAATC